TGCAAGTTCGACTGCAGCAACAAAATAAATCATGGATTGCACCTCGTTATTCCCAACTTGTTTTTTTTTATCCACGTTGGGTCGTTGTATACAATTGATTTTAGGGACTAATTTAATAATATCATTAGGGTTAGGGCTAGGGCTAGGGCTAGGGCTAGGGCTGGGGCTAGGGTTAGGGCTAGGGCTAGGGTTAGGGCTAGGGTTAGGGCTAGGGCTAGGGCTAGGGCTAGGGTTAGGGCTAAGGCTAGGGTTTGGGCTGGGGATAGTGTTGGGGTTTGGATTGTGTTTAGTATTATTTTTATGGTTAGGATCGCGTTTGGGTATAGATTTAGGCTGAGGTGAATGTTTTGGTTTAGGCTTTTGCTTAAAATTAGGATTAAGGTAAGATTATGTATATAGTTAGGGTTAGGATTGATGATTTATTTAGAGTTAGCTTAAATTATAGGGTTGGAATTAGGGGTTAGGTTTAGGGTCAGGACTCTTGAGCTTATGGACGGGGGTATTTACCTAAGAAAAAAATTGACAGGGGGTAATATTGGGGTTGGGGGGAGGAGGAAACGTCCGGGGATGGGGTAGGGCCAGGGGCGGAACTACAGTGCCGCCAGACCCCGCAATGCGGGGGGGGGCCCAGACCGAATGGGGGCCCAAAAATCCCGGCTAAATTATTTAAAAAAATAAAATAAAATAAATTTAAAAAAAAAAAAAAAAAAAAAAAAAAAGGTGGAGGTCGAGTTATCTTTCATCTACATTTACAAAAAAACACGATAGTCGGCAAACGTCTTTGAAAAAAATGTACAGACTATAGCTCGAGAGACCGCCAGACATATAGACAACTTCAAAGACGCAGGGGCGGAACTACAGTGCCGCCAGACACCGCAATGCGGGGGAGGGGGGCAGACCGATTGGGGGCCCAAAAATCCTGGCTAAATTATTTTAAAAAAAAATGTAAAAAAAAAATTAAAACAAAATTTTTTTTTTTTTTTTTTTTTAAAATTAGATGGAGGTCGAGTTATCTTTCTTCTACAGTTACAAAAAAACACGATAGTCGGCAAACGTCTTTGAAAAAAATGTACAGAGTATAGCTCGAGAGACCGCCAGACATATAGACAACTTCAAAGACGTAGCCTACCTTTTTACTTTTAGTGGCGTCGATTAGGAGAACAAAAAAGGATTGTTATATTGTTTACATTATTAAATATATATATATATATATATATATATATATATATATATATATATATATATATATATATATATATACATATATATATATGATTGTGTGTTTAAACTACTGGCCTGGACTCTACAAAAAATATAATTATTTATTTCGATGTCATACATTTATAATTGCGTTCATTTTTACTTTAACAACTGTATCAATAAACTTGTGAAAGTTTAAGTTATCTCCCTTTAGCGAAGCATCTGAAGTTTTTGCCGGCACGCTTTGAAATCGGGCTGGGGAAATGTTGCGGCGACTATTCTGGTCTTCTAGACGACCGGAAAAAGTCGGCACTATTGATGTAGATGTTTATCGGCACTTTCTAGTCCCCTTCCCTTGAACCTTCCCAACTCTCACCCCTCCCCCCTCACCCCCTCACCCCCCTCTCACCCCTACCCCTCACCTCTACCCCTCACCACACCCTTACTCTTACAATAAGATGTAATGCATAGATTAACGAACCGTCTATGAACTACTGAACTGTAAACTGACCACTTCTGCACATTTTGTTAAAGACACTAGTCAGTAGTTGTTCATTTACCTGATGAAGTATTTTGTTGACGAGTCTAATTCACACAACAAGGAAGGTAAGGCTCGTCTTTATATTATTAATTGTTTTATAATTAGTACACGTATTAATTGAACATTAGTTATTAACACTAAATACATTAAAGTTAATCAAATTTAGGATACAATGATCTAGCTTTTAAGCCTAAAAACAACCAAAAGATCTATATCACCTTTGAATGTATTAATGTTTAATTTCATGTTTAGCCCGTAACGGGGAGGGGTTATATTCGGTTATAATATGGGTGGGTCTTTGGCAGTGTTTCTTCCAGACTTTTTTCTTCGGGGGGGGGGGGGCACTTGAAATTTTCGGAGGGGGAGGGGCGGGGGGTTCGGACCGCACCGGGTGACACCATTTAGGGGGGTGACACCAAGGCAAAAAATAGTAAAATATATAGAGAAAAACTCGAGGGGGGGGGGGTGCAAATCGAAAGTTTGAGGGGGGTGCAAATCGAAAACTTAAACTTGAGGGGGGGTGCAAATCGAAAACTTGAGGAGGGGGGTGCAAATCGAAAATTTGAAAGTTTGTCCCTGGGAAGGGTCTCTATGGCTCTGGGGGGGGGGGGGTGACACCATTAAGTGCCGCACCGGGTGACACCCGACCTCGCTACGCCACTGCACCCGATATATATATATATATATATATATATATATATATATATATATATATATATATATATATATATATATATATATATATATATATATATATATATATATATATATATATATATATATATATATATATATATATATATATATATATATATATATATATATATATATATATATATATATATATATATATATATATATATATATATATATATATATATATATATATACATATATATACATATAGATATATATATATATAGGGGCCTAAAAAAATTTTTTGCGGGGGGGCCATTTTTTTCTAGTTCCGCCACTGGGTAGGGCAATGACTTAGACCCGGTAAATTTAATTAAAACAATAGAAAAATACTGTGAATAAGAGTAAAATACATCCAAAACATGAAGAAGCAAACTTCAAAATATTTTATTTTACAATCAGAATCATAGCTTTTGAAACAGGTAATACTCTATGAATCTTGTATTTGCATTACCAGTTAAGAGGTGTGTGAGCAATACAGTGATGTTAGAAAATAATCTTTAAAGAACACAACTTAGTCAATATAATCAACATAGTCAACATTGTCAACACTGTAAACATTGTCAACTAAGTCAACATATCAACATAGTCAACACTGTCAACGTTGTCAACTAAGTCAACATATCAACATAGTCAACATAGTCAACACTGTCAACATTGTCAACTAAGTCAACATAGTCAACATAGTCAACATAGTCAACACTGTCAACATTGTCAAATTTTACTTAACCAATAGGAAACTTCTCATTTCGAGCGTGCACACTTTATAAACAATACATTCTCTAAAGGTGTGTTTGAAATGGTTGGTTCACCAGCGACCGATGTGTATAAACGCCTAAGTGTTAACACAGTTTTTAACGATAGTTACCGTTTAAATAGTTCATATAATAGTTTATACCTTAAAATAATTTTATTGCTTTTATTGTTAGAGTGACAATTATATATATATATATATATATATATATATATATATATATATATATATATATATTGCAAAAATGAAATAGCTGAAGTGAATTTAATTGTACAATAGCTTGATATATAGGCTACGTACAAAAATAACTTAATTTATATTTAACTAAAACAAACAATATAGAAACAAGAGAAATGTACACAACATTAACACTGCTCAAGTTACAACATTAAAACTTACATTTTAATGAGTAAGGTGTTCACATATTCGGCGATTGTTTATATCCCGTATAGAATAAACGCCCTACACAAAGTCCTATCCTCACATAGAAGACGTTGCAACACTCAAGCCGAGGCGTACTAGACCTCCTGTATGGGTCTACATCACTCTCTTTCTTGCTCCTCTGGCTTACCATACTTTAAGTTTACACACAACGCGTGTGTAGACTTTGTTTTATTGACTTGATTAATCAATACAAAACAACAGAGAGAAAGAGAGCTTATTTTACGAACCAGACGGAACGCTATTGTCTAAAGCTTTTCGTTACTTTCTTAATCTCAAACTACGTATTTTTAATGTTGGACATTGTTACATCCGTGTTATTCAATGCAGAAAACGATCCGAGAAAATGTTCAAAACTTTATTTTGTTCTCATCTTTACACATTACACAGCAGCCCACGTCCCTAGCCGCTACTAACTAAAATTCCCCTTACAGTCGTACACTCCAGCTTTTATACCCGCAATCGACCTTGGGTTAACAAAACCTACACACCCCGGGGTTAACTTAACTCACACACACATCTCCCCTACGTTCTGAACTATTCTAGCATATTCTAATCTATCCTACAACTGACCCGTAACAGCCATCTTATGTACATAAGCCTAAACTGACCGATGTAAAATAGATGATTGTCTTTCCTTATTTACAAAATGTTAATTGAATAAAAAATAAAAATAAAAAATAAAAAATAAAATTGTTGGATTAGATTTCCAGAGCCTTATTAATCGAATGTGTTCTTCTTCTTCTTCGTTCTTAATTTTATTGTTGGATTGGACCGAGCCTTATCTGCCAGAGGGTTTGAACTCGAGACTTCTTCGAATTTAACAACCATGAGGTTTTGCTGACTCGACCACGCCTCCAGCACAATTAAGGATACGTGTCAACTGGTTATGCGATATTGAGGTCATTGACTCCTATTTCAACCTGCTTTTCTTTTATTCAACCAATATCAAACTACAAGGCAGCAGTTGTTCGATTTTGGAGTTGTCTCTCCTAGAAGAGTGGCTGTCCCCAGCTAACGAGCCTCATCTGATATGGCTAGGTCTGCTTTGAGTTCTTCTGGTGTAATACTATCTGGGCCAGCCACTTTGGGAAGGGGGGGGGGGTACCTGTACTCACATTTAATATGTGATTTGCATGTGATATACTGGGAATAGTTGATGAGAGAGGTTGATTTAAAATCTCCTGAAATGCCTGGACTCATCACTTGTTTTAACCCAGACAAAATGCCTAATTATAATTAAAAAGAAAACTTGCTTAAGTTTTTTTTTGTTATTGAAAAATACTATTTTAATACAGTATTCATAACTACGACTAATAACCAATTAATATGCTACATTACATAGAGACATGAACGTTTGTTGTGAGTTGCTACAAATGTATTAAAATCAAATATCAATTATATAAATAAAATATAATAAAAGTATGTGCAATACATTGTTTTCAAAATTTACATATACAATAACAATAATATTTATGAAACGAAAGGGTTTACATCTATATACTACTTAAAGTCTAGCCTATGTATATTTATTTATTTGTATGTAACAAGAAATCAGAAAATCTGCAATATGTGTACAATTTTGAAATACGTACTTGAGTATAACAAATTATTGTTTTTAAAATGAATATACAATTTAAAAAATTCTTTAAAGATGTGAATATGATTCAGGGGCATATTCTTTAATTATACAAACTAACTTCAATGACTAAACTTAGCATCGTTCACTGTAGAGTTGCACTTCAAAACAAAAATAGACGTTGAATGCGTTGACTATTGCCGATTCAAAAGGTAATAGTGTTAATACATTATATTTTTTGGCTATAGCTTTTGTTGATACATTTAATTATTATAGTACAATCAATTTTCAAATAGGAAACGCTTAACAAATCTTCTAATTCGAGAATATAAACAAATTATTTACTGATAAACTAGAAACTAGATTCTACTTCTAGAACTATGCTTTTTTTGAGAAAGAGCAATCAAATTAAAATAAATTAAAAAAAAAGTATAAAAAAACTCAATGAATAATTGGTTTTTGTTTTTACTAAACTATTCCAGGCCTTAAATAATGTATATAAATCTTTGTGCATTAGCAGTGGGATCGGTTAAATAAGGATATAATTTAATTTAAAATAATATTTGGTGTAATTTTAATAATTACGGAGACAAAATAAAGTAGCTAGAAAAATTTTCACGACTTATATATTATTATCCGGTGTTCTGGTATAGCCCGTTAGATACCCTTTTTATAGTCATAATATATATTTTTTTTAAAATCTCATATATTATATATGTTTTCAAATTTTAAATATTTTAAATATTATGTTAATTTGTTATTCCTATTAGAACTAAATTCCACGAATGTTAAAATTTTTCGTTAGAATACGTTTAATAGATCTTCCAGTTCGAGACTAAAGAAATTTATGTTTGTATGCATAATATTATTTTTGGCGAAGGCCCTGACAACAATAAATGGATGCCCAGAAGGGATCTGGAGGGAGTTTGGGCCAAAGAACAGGGATATATCGGGGTGTTAAAAGGTTATACATTGTGGTGTTGTACAGTGATGCCGACAGACCGTTTTCGAGCCGGAAACTGGGTCATCTTGTACACATTAAGCTATACAGTGTAGTTGCTTTATGCTAGTTTAAAAAACCTAGATGTAAAACAATTTTATAAATACAATAGTTAATTGTTTGAATAGAGAAAAAGCATACGTTGTCAATGCTTTTATTTCTGCTTTTATTTGTCAACATTCTGATTTTAATTGTCCTGTATTCCATAAACATCAAACACTTTCTACGAAAGAAAAAAAAACGACACGAATTTCCATTAAACTTGTTTAATATAGCAGAGAGCTGTATATAAAAAATAACAATATTAAGGTTTTTCTCTGAGGCGTTATCAATGTGATGGCTTAAGATGCTTTTATTTTTAACTTTAGGCCGTATCTCTTAATATAGGGTTCTATTATGCTATCCTAAAATTATAAATACGTTAAAGACAATGCTTATACAGAGATTACAATTGTGTACATGTTAACTTACCTTAATGAGTTCAATTAGACCCCACGATAATGCTGTGGGACACAACTGGCGAACATTTTTAAAAATGTGCATATTTTACTAATAATTTTTCCTCCATAAAAAATACACTTTCTAGTAGTAATTATACAACTGCTATGTCACAATGCAAATCTACAAACTACTCTATTTAAAAAGAAACAAATGTATCAAACATCAAATGTTAATTTATCTTATTAAAGACAAGTATTGTTAGCAGTGATCAATTATAAATAACATGTCTTACCAGCGTTGCAGAAACACTTTCAAACAGTTTAGAATACTCAAGCTATTTAAAAGCATTTAAATTAAAATTATTAAAAATATCGTAATTAGTTAAAAAAAATAATTAAGTACTAAAATCGTAAATGAAATGATATTTACATTAGTAATAATCATTTTTATAAGTATTTATGGTTAATTCTACATCATCTTGCCTGAACTTGATTGTCTTTATGTTTCCTTACCCACGAAGGTAAAGTTACATAAGTAAAGGAAGTAAAAAAACTTACCAAAGAGACATTAAAAACAACCCAGGTGATCAGGGTACTTTCAATCTGAAAATTTGTGGTTTACACAAAGTAAACATAGCAAGCACTCATATATTATGAACGTTTATTAAAAACATTCAGTATCTATTGATAAAAAGTGGCCCTGAAAATATGTTCGCTGATGATTGGTTTGGTAAAAATGACGCGTAAACCTGTTAACGACATGTTTGTTTAATAAACGTATGTGTATTGTAAAGGCTTACCAGCGCTCCAAAAAATCTTGGAAATTGAAAAGCACCGAAGACCTAATAAAATAATATATTTTACATGTAAGTAATTTGAAACAAATGATTATTAAAAAAAAAACATATCGCTTTCAGAATGTAATCGGTGATCTATATTAATAACAATTAAATTTTTTTTTAGAAAAAAAGATGCACTAAAATTACTTCAAACAGATTGTGTTTTGTTAATTAGTTTAAAGTAAGTGAAACAGCTTAAAATTAATGTAAATATCAACCAACCATAAATCCACCCAAAATTTGGGTTGTTATAGACTCGAAAATCTAAAAAAAAAGACAAATTAACATTAATTATCACGTGAATTGCTTTCTTACATTAAAAACCAAGATGAGGGTCTACTTAGAGGAAATTCAAAATATTTTATTAACTAATTATAGTCCACAGTAGTGTATCGACTTTTATTCTAAATACGAAATTTGTTAATTTTTTTTGTAAACTTAATCCAATGTAAAAAAAACATCTCGCTTAACATCTCGCTTAATTAAACCTTTTTAAATATGTAACATCGATAATTTTTTCCTCTTTGTAAACTTTAAAAAAAAACAACTTATTTCTAAATATCCAAAGAGAAAGCATAAAAGAAAGTAGCTTACAAGCCAAACAAATATAATTTGAGCTTTCAATGGCGTCAGAACCTAGAAAAGTATTTGATTAATTAAATATCAGGAACATTCATAAAGCATGTCTCATGAGGTATGCCGAGTTATTATTATTCTCGTTTGGCTAGCAAGGGTTGAGCCACTTCTCATAGGAGGGAGTTTTCATCTCCCTTGAATGCTTTTCAATAATTATTATAGCAATTAATTACTGCAAGATGTACATGTTGATATATAAATTGCACTTGTGTTAAAGTTCTACATTTCCATACACACGATAAGGGAGATACTACCAAAGAAAGTATTTAGTTCGCGTGGAAGTAGCCAACACGCATTTGCTAGTCCGAAAGTCTCCCTGGTTCGATTACAGAGGACGCCCATAATTTCATTCAGTTTATATGGGTGTCTGACTTGAGTCAAGATAAGTAGAGTTCACTAGGTATAATGCCTTTATATGTCGAGTCAAGAGAAGCATATGTACTCTTATTTATCTGGCCCACGTACATAAGTATGAATGGGTAGTTTTTCATAACGATTCACTAGACTAAGTTTATTCCTTTTTTCTGACAATTAAGTAAAAAAATAATATTATTTTATGTCACTCATTTTTAATTAAGTGCTTGAAAAGAAGGTCTATTAAAATACTTAGGAAATGTATAGTTTGGAAATACATCAAACATAAATAAACAAATGTAATTTATAACTTACAAAATACAGGAGAAAAGCGAATACGTTTCCATTTTTAGCCTGAAATTTGACATTAAAAGACACACTAAAGTAAATATAAATATTTATCACTCAAAAATGTACAATCCGTAATATTACTTTATATACATCGCTACATATGTAATAAGTAACTTTATTATTCATTAAAAAAAAATATAATGCTCCATCCTGAATTTATTGCTTGGGCTTATGGGGATATGCTCAGTTTATTTCCATTTTTTTTTTACAAATAAAGATCTAAAGAATTTAAAAAAAAACTTTTACCATGTTTTGCACATGAAAGTAAGTATTAAAAAGCAAACAAAAATAAAATGTTGACATTTGTTTTTGGTTATCAAGGAAACCCAAAAAACCTCCTCCATTTATATTTTTGGTACTTTTAAAAACGCTACGGCATTTTTATGTATACAATTATATTAAAGAAAACGTTAAACTTTTGTCACGGCAACTTTTTGAAAGAGCTACTGGTCAGAAGTCTGCAAGGTCTAAAAAATCGTACCCTTTTTAGTATGCAAAAGTTTCAAAATCTGCATATTATTTACCATACACTTGTTTCTATAATAACCATCACAATTCACTCGTGAAAAAAAGTTTTATTTTTGTATGAAGAACAATTACTGAAAAATAAGGTGGGCATTGTTTAATAAATAAAAAAGTAGTAGGCTTTTTAGTGTTAAAAAACTGCGAACTGAGAAAATCAGCAGAAGTAACGAAAGTAGGTCACAAAAATACCATATCTGTGCGATTTGTAAAGCCGATTGTAAGCTTCAAGTGTTTCCGAGATTATGGAAAATATATTATCAAATACATGAGAAATCCAGCTTTTCAATGATGTTAAATACAATATGACGGATATAAAACTTTCGTAGAGAGCTTGTAAGATTTGGAAAAATGATTACTTTTTAATTAATGGGGTAATAAAAATGGTATTTAAACACATACAATTTTTTTTTTTGAAAGTTATTTTTTTCTTAATACAAAAATAGACAACGTATCCAAAAGTACAAGAAACCCACTATGACGAAAATCAGCATTTCGGTGATATTTTTATGAGCATATCCCCTTAAGGTATTTTGAGAACTAAATTGTATGACTATAACAATCTACACTCAGTTTTTGCAATTAAAAAAAACTTTATTATGTCACAACCTCATTAGTTATGTAGAATACAAATTGAACTTACCAATATTGTCAAGCATAACCAAAACACAAGCAAATTTAATATGATGCTGGTATCTAAAGTCTATTATTAAAAAAAAATTAGTTGAAAGTAATTCTCTTAATTTGTGATAAATCTCTCTTTCTCACTTTTAATCTAATACTTAAAATAAAACGCAAATGGAGAAAAGGTTTGAAATAATTTAAATTTGTTTTTTAACTTATTGAAAATCAATCATATAATTCTCAACGACAGTGCTAAACCTAACAATAAATAAAACATAACATGTAACTTACCAAGTATGAAAAAATGAAGAATTGCAGAAGACACTAAAAATGCGTATATTTCAAAGCTATTATTAATTCTAAATGTATGATAATATTGTGTGAAAATTACAAAAAATTACAAAAAATCAACAACACACAGTCATATAATTCACATAATTATTTATGTTGGTATATGATAATTCCTGAAAGAGAAAGAATGAGTTAGTTCATTTTCAACGAAACGATAGTTACTATACATTTTTGGCAAATCAAATGGCCAGAAACAAATATCTATGGCAAATCAAAGAACCAGAAAACAAAAACTTTGGCAAATCAAATGACCAGAAACAAATAACTGTGGCAAATCAAATGACCAGAAACAAATATCTATGGCAAATCAAAGAACCAGAAAACATAAACTTTGGCAAATCAAATGGCCAGAAACAAATATCTATGGCAAATCAAAGAACCAGAAAACAAAAACTATGGCAAATCAAATTACCAGAAACAAAAACTTTGGCAAATCAAATGACCAGAAACAAAAAAAAAAACTATGGCAAATCAAAGAACCAGAAAACAAAAACTATGGCAAATCAAAGGAGCATGTCAACGAGGCACTGGGGAGGTGCAATAAACATCAGATGGGAAGGTGATGCACAAGTTATGAAAACATGCCACTATCTAAATTTTTTGTGTTAGTAGAAGTCAGAACTGGCTAGGGCCAACAATTTCCCGGGTGGGGGGGGGGGGGGGGGGGGCGGTTTTAAGTATATATTTTCTATGTAAATTCCATTTCGTTCGGGGGGGGGGGGGGGGACACGGTAGACTTTCTTCGTCAATTCATCTTAGTTTCTAATTTAATTGAAAAATCAATTAGATTACACAAAATGTTGTTAAATTGAAAGTTAGATACTTTTGCGTTGTCATTGTAAATATTTCGATCTGTATCAGCATTAAAAGTGGGTTAAAATGATTAAGTTACTAGATTTTACCCCATACAGTCAGACATTGTGACCAAAATGAAATCTCGGAAAATAGATGCGAACCACAGGGCAGATGAGGCTCGATAATTGGGGACAGCCACACATATAAGAGAGAAAACTCCAAAATCAAACAACTGCTTCTATGTAGTTTGTTCTTGATTGGACATAGGCTTTGTAAGAAAATACAAAAAGAAAAGTAGGCTGAAATCAGAGTCAATTGACTAAATGACGCATAACAAGTTGACAAATTATATTTATATGTATTTGAGGGAATCACTTCCAGCACTAGAATTGAGTACGAAGGTACGAAGAAGAAGAAATAAGATTCTTACCCTCAAGATTCCAGCGATAACTGATACACCCATTTGAAAGCCAGGGCTAATCTGCATCAACTAAAAACAAATTATGAAAATATCAAGACAACGCAAAGTCAAATTTTAGATATTGCATCTATCAATTTTTGTGTAACGGTTATACACTTTTAGTTGCATGGTACTTCATCCTATCAAAATTATAAATATAAAGACAGATTTGTTTTGATTATTCAAAAATATAAAAAATAAAACTAAATTTAAAAACAAACAAAATGTAGTAAAAATAAACCGATCATCTTTGTATCACTTACCAGTGCGACTTTTGAAAAGTGAAATGGAAAACAGATGAAGATCTATACATAATAGAAACGTTTAGTACATTAAATTAAGTCTCTAGAGAAAAAAAAATGCATATATTTCAAACAATCTTTTTTAAATTCACATATATATATGGTATATTTTGTTATGTTTTAATACGTTGATAAAGCTTTTCTTGTAGGCAGACAGTTAAAAAGCTCACGTACATGTAACACTGTAAGTTCTTAAAATGTATTAGAAAAATAACGTTTAAGAAAAATATTGACATAGACTTATGCATATAGCATTCTTTTTTAATTTATATTGTTCAAACGAGTAAAAAAAGTTTAAAGTGACTTTTTTGTACTTTCAAGCGGTTCATATTATGTTCTGCAAAAATAGGAAGAGTTTATTCAGTAAGAGACTTAATAGAATCAGGAGAATAAAAAGTTGAATATATTGTTTGAAATTTAGATCCTTATTTTAATTTGTAATACAATAGCACTTACTTCAATTATACAATTTGGAACTGTATATCCGAGAAATTGAACTGAAAAATAATTATATATATATATATATATATAAATATATATATAAATATATATATGTATGTATGTATGTATGTATGTATGTATGTATGTATGTATGTATGTATATGTATATGTATA